TCTACGAGATAATCAACAAAACTGTGTCTGGCTAGCTTCTCTTCGTGTTGGAGTGAATTGAGGCTCAAAGCTGAGAGAAGTCTGAAGCCACTTTAAGATGAAAAGTAGCTTCACACTTACATCTCACTTTTATACGAGACAAGAAACCAAACTAAACCTGGCCAGCTTGTGTTCGAGCTTGAGTGATTTGAGGCTCAAAGCTGAGAGAAGTGTGAAGCTACTTTAAGATGAAAAGTAGCTTCACATTTACATCTCACTTTTCTGCGAGACAAGAAACCAAACTGTGTCTGGCTAGCTTATCTTCATGTTGGAGTGAATTGAGGGTTAAAAATGAGAGAGCTGGGAAGCGACAGACAATTGTATAAATCCACCCCAGCCCGTGAATGCATGTGGAGGCGGCGAAAGTGCTTGTGGTACTAGTTGAGCAAAACTCAAATAGGTGGCAGTGCAGTCTACACATTTCTACCTTTCAACGGATGAGTCACCCTTGCATCGATCCCGTACGGCGCACGATTTAAATCGCCTTACCGATCGATGACCTCGTCTCGGCTAGACTGAGCCGTAATGATGAGACGCCGGCAGGGGTGGCTGAGCCAGCCAAAACTCGAGGCAAATGGAATGTCCAAGAACAGGGCCTCAATAAAAAAGTGGACTTCACGCGCGGAATGGCGGCAAATGTTGGCGGATGGTGAAGAGGGCAAGACTCAATTGCAGGAGGCTGACGCACTGCGACGAGGCGTTGGGTTCGTTTGCGCTTTGCAGGCAAGTCAGTTGCTCCGTCAGCACCAAACGCGACGATAAAGGCCATTTGAGCAGCAAGATGGAATTGCTGCCGAAGCCAAATTACAAGACCGACAAATGCGGATGCGGCGAGAAGTAAGCAGTTACCCACTTCTGGGCACCAAACCACAAAACTCATCCACCTTGCAGCAGCTATTCACCCAAGTATTATTATTATTATTATTATTATTGAAGTTGTTTGACCTTGTTTTCGCGACTTGGGACAAACCAACCCGGGCCAATTGAAGACATCAACTGCTCCAACCGACGGTAGGGATAAGGTAGTAAACCTGTCCTTAATCCCTGTTGATTCCGAAGAGGGGGACCGCCCGAAGAAAGGATTAACTCTTTTAATCGGTAACGAAGGAAACAATTTCTCAGACATCCTTGTAGAAGTTATAAACATCTCGGAGAAATTACCAGAAGAGGCCAAACGGGAGATGGAAATGGAATTATTCCCGAGGATTCTGTTCCTTCAAGAGCCAATAAAAAGGAGCAGATTGATAAAGATACGTAACAAATAAATGAATGACCAAATAGTTGTTCAGGCGGATAAAGGAGGTGCGGCGATGACAAATGGATAATCAACAGAACACGGAGAAAATGAAAAGTAGCCTTGGCGACCGGAAAACCTATCAAATTTTAAGAAAAGATCCAACCATAAGGATCATCGGTAGACTGAATAATATGCTCAAGGAAATTCATAGTCAAAAATGACCCAAGACCACTGACAGCCTACGGACTAGAGAAGATACACAAGGATGGAAATCCGCTAAGATTAAGACTCAACAACAGGCATGAGGCTACACACAAACTAGCAAAATTCATTTTTTTGAAGCTCAAGAAAGTAAATGGCAGACTCTCGAATAACGTGAATAATTCATACGAATTTCTTCAACGGATCCAAGACTTTGGGCTGGTGGGGACGTAACTGTGGGTATGTTTTGATGTAGAATCCATGCACACAAGCATCTTGGGCAGAAATGCAGTCACCGCTGTACTGGAGGTCTTGGAACGAGAGGAGGATATCCTGGAAGCAGAGTGGATACGGAAAGAGCCATTAACATGACTAATCAACCTGGCGATACATATCATATATTTTACATTCAACAGCAATAACTAAGAGCAAATATTTGGACTGCCAATGGGATCTCCAGTCACCACTTTTGGCAAATGTATAAATGGACAGATTGGAGAAGGAATTCGAGAAATCACCGCTGCAACCAAGAGTACTTATGCGCTATGTTGACGACTACTTTGCATTTTGGTCTTATGGTAGAATTAAATTCACAATGGAGGTGGAGGAGGATGGATGACTACCCGTCCTGGATATTGAGGTATTCACTCCAATGGACTATTCAAAAAAAGACTATTCAGAAAGAAATTATATGCTATAATAATCCTCAATTTCTAGTCTCATAACAACTACAGACTGAAAATCGGAATAATGAAGAGTATGATCATCAGAAGCTTACGTTTAACGGACACTGAGTTCTGAAACGAGGAGTTGGACAAATTGATTTGGATTTGCCTTAGTAACGGGTACCCCAGATAATTTATACAAATAAATGTAGGCATCATAAAGAGCAGATCTTAACTCGGATTTTATGAAACTCCGATCAAGAATCAGGAGGACGACCAAAAGTGGATATTCCTGCCCTCATGTGAACTGATC